TGGACTTGGACTTGAGTAACAACGAGGACTGCAGCGTGGGCCTATCAAAGTTCGTTAGAGTATACGTTAGAAATGATAAAAATGGGAAGCCAGATATCTTAATGCAGGTTGTTTAAGTTATAAACATGTCACGTATTAGCAACGCATGTCTTAATGCACGATTAGATGACGTGTTTATTGCTTAATGGAGAGCAATCGAAGCGGACTGATAGGCCATTAGAAACACTATTCAACAACTAGATTAGTTTAGGGAAGGACTCGCAAGAGCTACGCACGCGTTAATCCTATATATGCGTTTCGATTGCCTCCTATAACCGTTTGGCACGGTTTCATAAATTTCATTGGATTTCCGACATGGGCATAAATGTCAACGTGACGAGAAAGGAGCATCATATGAATTTGAAGATGTCGTAGTTAAGGTATACTGAACATATATTAGTTATTGTAACCTTTAAAGTTATTTCTATACTTGGTTAGAAGAATGCGTATGAGCAATAGTCGTAACAACGTGGAAGAAAAAAAGATCAACCAACCAAATTTTAAAGTATGGTAACTGAAACATCTGTTTTTAATATGTATGATTACTTTGTTACTTATGTAACGTTATTATTGTTTTTCTTTGTGAATTTGGAAATATTTTAATGATAGTATAGACAAGTTTAAGAGAAATCTGTCCATTAATAGTTTTTTTTATTTAAATTGTTTAAAGTTCCTCTACTTTTTAATTTTTGTTATTTTATTTAAAATGATTCTGTATTTTTTGTTTTTATTATATGTTAATTTCAGTCATAAATCAACTACTGTGAGCGTTTATTTTTATTTTTATCTGTTGTAAATGTAATAACTCTTAAGAAATGTGGTTTTACCTGTAATTAAGATACCATGTTATTCATGTATTTCTTAAGCATGTTTTTCTTATGTTGATAATGTAAATTATAAAAAATGATTGTAAAACTCTATAATAAACTTCTATAATATAACACATTCGTGATTTTACTTTTCAAAAGTAGGGTAAAAATTCTTGATATCATCGTGGTTAAGATTATTGAGATCGCATGCATACACATGAGGGACTTATATTTGCCCCTGGCTTCAGCAACAGGCTCACCTACTACCACTTTTAGAACAAAGATAAGTTTTATGACAATAGAACAGCATTCTGTCATTGTCTGTCCTGTTAAACTTAAAATACGTGACAGCTTTTACTAGATACAATGCGAGAGCAATCCCAGACAGCTCTAAATCCACAGAGAATTCGATAATTCAATCTTTAAGTGTGGTAGGGCCGTCACGCAGGCGTGAAGTGGAAGTATAATCCTTTCGCTTTTCGTCTGGTGAGTGAGCCCAATTTTCGAAAGGTTGTCAACGCATCTGCATACCCTCGGGTGTAGCAGATGTCTATGGGCGGTGGTATTCACTTAACATCAGGTGAACCGCCCGCTCGCTTGGCAACTTTTCACATAAAAAAACCCGAAATTTGTGGAGGATCGAAATAAAATTAAGCATTATTTTTATTTAGAAAAAAATATACAAAGCTTTGGCAACGAATGGACAGAATGATCATTAAATCATTCTCCTAACGACACTCGTCCCTATTACGCTGTCGGAACACGTAACGAGGCCATTTATTATTTGTTTCAGGGAAGTTTAATTGATTTAAGTATACCCGGGAAAGCGGATTTTATTTGTTCCCCATTCCCACTTTTCCCCGTATCGCCGTACTTAAAAGTAAACTATTGTAATATATTGTTGTGTTGTCATCTGATTTCTGTGTCAATATTTTTCCTTGAATTTAACAGTTCAGAGTTTTATAACTTTAATGATAAATAACTTGGGACATTAGTCAAATGATGAACGATTCTATCTTTCGTATTCCTTACTTATACATAGTTGAAATAAAACTTGTAAGTTAAGCAGCTTTTACGCAGCTATCAAACTAACCAGTGTCATGCTTATTAGCGACTTTCTGTAACTATATTGTTCGGTTTGATAATATCGGAGCGAATAAAGCAATAATTGACCAATATTGTAATGCTATTGTTTAACTACTTGTTCACATAAATAATGCATAACTGTAGGTGATAACAAAAGCGCATTTGTCACGTTAGTCTAATACGAAGTCTTTTTAAAATATAATAAATCATTACTAAACAGCACTAGTAAAATATGTATTTAACATATAATGTTCTATCGCTTTATTATGTTGGTTTTATTTATATAAAAAAGTTTTTCCTAATTTATAGTTTCCACAAGGGTGTAATTGCTTTATTTCCAAATAACTGACTGGTGAACATTCAAGCATTGAAAAAGTGACTTCTCTGCGCTTTTTCCCTTCCGTCTTGTAGGTATTGTGTCTGTACTTATTTTCATAAATACTTTTAGGTTAGAGAAAAGTGGTATTCGGTGTTAGGTCCATTTTTTAGCTCCGGATAAAAACTTGCACCTCCGTAAAATTATGCAAATTATATCGCCGCTTACCATGATGTCTATTAATTGGCAATTTATAACAAAGAAGATTTATTAAGCTTGCATTTTATAAGGTACAACACTCGACTTTTGAAAAAAATAGTTATGTTTATTATTGTTTGTTCTAGTTATCGTAACATTAATGGATGGCAACTCCGCTAAATTTTTACAGTGAAAAATACGTAAATGGCTTGTTGGAATACGTTTTGTATATGCGAAACCGAGTGTTTGCGTAGATAAAAAAATATAGTAAAAAAATAAAAGTTATAGTAAAAATAATCCAATTCGAAACAAAAACTGGGCTACATCAATTCCTCCCAGATTTTAGTTAGTGGAAGTCTTTTAAAATATAATAAATTTACTAAACAGCATTACTAAACAGCTTTTCTTAGAATTCTTAATATTTTAAAATATATTTACAACGGTCGACGGATATTCCATGATTTCGTGATAATGGATTTTGAGCCTAAAACAGAATACGTTCTAATAGCCACCAAATGATAGGACTAAAGAATCTATGGTTAAAAGAAAATGGCTCGGTGGTGTAGTCTTCGGCGCCGAGGCTCTTGAGTTCGATTCACACACCTGATAAGGGAGGTTTGACGGATAACTGGGCGGTCGGTTATAAAATAACTAACCAAAACTATTAAAATATGACATTGACAGAGACAGACGTTAGCAACACACAAGCACATTATTTTTATTTGTCTATATTTTTGTACTTTCTTCTTTCTTTTACTATCTAATAATTCTTTATCTCCGCACTTTTTCTGGTCTTCTTATTAATATATTACGATGAAAAGGTTTTAATATAATAAGGCCTTTTAATTTTTCATTCGTTTCAATTACTTTAATATTTCTTCGAAAACCAACGGCACGCTTTTTGATGATTAGTATCTAGTCATTACTAGGCTAGAGGAGACGAAAGCTTAGAAAGGTTCTTGTTGGAAACACTGAAGGCAAAAGATCACGAGGCCAATCTCCAGCACGATGGACTGACCAGCTCAAGGACACAGAACCGTCTCCGAATGTGGTTAGGACTGCGATGGACCGGAATCGATGGAGAAATCTCATTCGTGTTAGAATGACGACCGCCAACCACGATTATCAGACATGATGAAAACGACCAGAAAGAAGATCCAGTCACTGATATCGCGAATAGCAGATTTGCGGGCCCTTACTTTGTAAATTTAAACTCAAAAAAAATCATCTAATAAAGATAACGCGTTTAATAAATCGTGGACACTGACATTAAATAGAAGTATTCAATTTCATGTCGGTTGCGAAAGATTAAGTACTTAGGAAACACCACCTGCAGCAACTGGGTAATTCTCCGAGGAGAGAATAAATTTTAACCTGTCAAACTCAGAGCAGATTTTTCGCCTTTCGATCGCTGACTCGAATGCGAAAAGTGTAGAAAATTCGAGTGTGCATTACGCAAAATGCAATTCTCACTTTCTATGATCTGGCAACTAATGATTTAGTAAAATGACTAAAACAAGGCATCTGGTATAGCAATAAAATTTTTCACAAGATCATAGGACTAACAAATAAGTAATCAGCGATACTAATGGACACTCGCGTCTACAATACCTTAAGCAGTTGGAATAAATAAATGTCAAATATAACTAAATCCGAATTAATCAGAGTGTGCACAGGAGGTGCATGATTTAATTCATTCCTACCTACCATCAGGTAACCTACCATAGGGTAACCTACCATCGGGTAACCTACCATCGGTTAACCTACCATCGGGTAACTAGACTGTCTGCAGGCCTCAATGATTTTGTTGTTGACATTCCCCGTCTTCGAAAGAAAAGATTCTCTTTCTTAAAGCAAAAAAGTGCAACAATGTGCAAGTTAGTTTTCCGGTGCCATCGTAATCAGGAACAGGCTGTTACTGACTTAAGACAGTCCAAAATAGATGAACCGGTGTAGCTAGCGTAGCTGTCCTGCGAAGCTCGTATTTTTCCAAACGCGTCAAAATAAGTATAACTTCAATATACAGTATTAATATCCTCGACTACTTTAAACAAAATCTTTATGTCATTGTGGCATGATCACACGTCTAACGCTAATTGCCAATAATAATAAAAAAATATAAACGTTAAAAAAACTATAATTTAAAAAAAATACTTTTCAAACGAACAAATTAAATAAAAATGCTATACAACTATAACTGACTGATTCGTTACATTCAGAGACTTTTTCATTCGTTCCCACAGCGTCCTATTACAAATCTCTTCTTCTAACAGTATGTTTTATCTCTTTCAAATTAATTCATATGCTTTGTGACCTTTACAAATGATCATTACGTTACAGTTTTATACGTAAGGGAGTTCAAAATTCTTTGTTTTGGAAAATTTAATAACTCTGTAAATATTTATGTTTAAAGAATTTAAATGTTTAATACAATTTTAAAAAGTTATCCTCTATATGTGTGTTCATTTATTGTCGCGGTTGTAACGACACGCTGTATATGTATACGTAAAAATATTCATCGCTTTCCTAAAATCGGTACTGTATCACGTTAAATGAGTCGTGTTGACGCCTCCGACGGGCATAAGTTTAGACTGGCTCAACCAAAATACCTTTACTATGAAAAGAAAGATAGAAGGTACAACAATGTTGCTTTTGAACAATTGAGCACGAAACATTTTAATTAAGTAACCAAAACAACCTCAACTGACCGTTATTTTATATATTTACTTTTTTATATTATGTAGCAAATTAAATAAAAATTTTAGCGTTTCATTTTACTTTAGGGATGTGTATGGAGAATCTTAATGTTTGGATTTAAAATATCCGCAAAAAAGTAATTCCACCGCCATTCAGTTCTAATTGAGCAAACAATGTTAGGATACATTTATTTTTTTATAATCGCCACGTATTAATTGGTTATTATGTAAATGTGCCGTTACACCAACATTTTCAGGGTGAAATATGTTTTTCAGGGTAACGAATTTTAGACGAAAAAATTAAAATTGTTTTCAGTTTTAAAATACAATACGAATTTTTCTCTGTAGTCTTTCTGTTGGTATGACTGTTTTATATGACACTGATGCTGAGTTTTTAACAGTGTAGGTGTTTCAAGGGTTGGGTATGTAAAAATATAAAAAGACCTTTAGATTTTTGTCTGTTAAAGACGAATGTGACTTAGGACCCAGTAGATTATTGTTATTATTGAAGGATAACATTATCCAGTGTTGTAAAGACGTTTTACATACATAAATTTTACGTGGACAAACACCCAGATCCGAAAGAATTATCTTTGGGTCACATAAATAGTTGTGTCGTGTGGGAATCGAACCCTTGACTTCCGACGCCGAAGTCAATACTTTAGCAACTGCGCCGCGGAGTCATTTAAACGTTTGTTCCCTTGTGCGGAAAAGACGTTCACTGACTGCATATGCTTCATACTCACCCAGTTTGGGTTGAAGTACGCTTTCTTTGCCCTCTATTTAGTGATCTGTTCGGGATATCCTGGCCTGTCCACCCTATAAAGCGATTTGCTGTCTAATCTCCAGAGAGCTGCACGAAATCCGAAATGACGGAGGCATCCCGCACTATGATCCCCAGCCGCCATCAGTCACTGGTCTCCGGGCCGACATAAAAATTCTCCCCCCGGCGCGCCACTTGATTAATGCTTGTAAAAAGCCCAATTAAGGGCTCCGATATCCCGAGCGTTTTATTTAAACCCCGCCCGTATGCCGGCCAACAGATGTTGCGTAAGTTATAAACGAATTGATTTCGCTCTGTAAACGAAATAATTTCTTAAACAACTACACCCAATTGAGTAACTCTATTCGTGCATCTATGATTAGATTTTTTCACTAACTACGCGTACTTGAAAACAGCTCCAAAGGCTTTTATTTTAAACTCATTCGTTTTCTGTTAAAACTATAATGCGATACGTTTTAAATTGGAGTATTTTACGGATTTTATCGCATGTATATGTTTAAAATATTTTCAGGGTTGAGGTTTTCTACAGGCTATCTTCAACTTTTTGATCGTAATAGTTAAAACCTAGAAACAGAGCAACTAAAAGCTCATTCATCATTTTATTGTTAGTTTATTCGATATTTTTTAATATTGGCGCGAATAATGTAATGTAATGTGTGATTACTATCAAATACTTTGCAGCATTCATTGTCAAGGAATATACTGCAAATCGTTCGTAACGTCGTGAAATAAAATTAAAAATAAACGTATTAAATCCTAAATAACAATTTTATTTGTGAATTGCTACTTTATTGCATCCATATAATTTTTTAAATAAGTATCTTTTTATTTTATCACAAGTATAAGGTGACTAACATAAATTCCTCGTGTCATTAGTGACTAGTTTTAAAAAAGTTTAATTTATTTTTCAATTTAGTAACACTATACATAATTTATTGTCTTATAGCTTATGCAATTATTTTTTGTTTCAGATTTCGGCATGAGATGAATCTTGGACGTCTTTCGAAATTATTTACGTCGCGATTGCGCTGGGAGTGAAGAAATATGGCGGACCCTCGCCTGGAAGGTCGACCGCTTGCTCTTTTCCTCACTGTGATGCTGCTCTGTAAAGGTTTGTTTCATAGCCATTATTCAACAAGTTTATTCATTCGGCACAGATTATATTTTAATGAATATTAGGTTTTTCATTACTGTTTAGATATAATTATTTTTTTTATGATTTGAATCCATGAAAAGCTTTACTGTAAATATATTTTGTGTTTATATCAATATATTAAAAGTATAATTTAAAAAATACAAATGATACAAAACTGGTCCTATATATATTTCTATTTAAATAGGTATGCATGTATTTAGTGAAGCTTACAAGATTCTCGCGTTCTCTTCTTAAGCAGCGACTACAGCACAGATAATGAAATCTATAGATAATAACGAAATGACGCTTACCGCTATTCGTTAATTACATTTTCAACGGCTCGCAACGGCAACAACAAACGAAATTGTTACTCCAACTTTTCCGCCATTAATTAGAGTAATTGGCAGCCGCCCGTCGCCATTTGCCCGTTTACAAAACATGGGTGCAAGATGATTGCGCCAAGCATGCAACACTTAGAAGCGCAGCGGGCGGTTCCGGAGCGACCTAGCCTAACGTTCCGTTACACACTTGAATTGCCTCTTGACCGTGTATTAAAATTTACTGTTCAACCACAATATATTTGTTTCGAAAACCGTTACTTATTTTGATAAAATTGTATTGTTGAAGTTATCGTGGTTGATTTGAGATTTTAACGCCTAACGAACACTTTGCGCAACATAACCCGAGCTGCTGTCAGCTTGAAAGTTATTAATTTATGTCTGAACCAATATTCGCTGTAGTGAGTATTATTTATGTCTGACACAGTAGTCGCTTATTCGAAACATCTAGAGCTAAAATCTAACATATACCTTTACCAGTACTTAAGTACTTTTATTTATATGTGTATTATTTGCCTAAAATAAAGACATCATACACCGTAAGTTTTCATAGTAACGAGGAATTAAAATGAGTGTCAAAAATATATATAATTGTTTGAATTTTTAAATAGTATAACAAACAAAGAAAAATAAGAAAAAAAATTATCAGTTGGCTGTATATCTCTGACTCTATAAAAATGAAAGAAAGATACGGTATTTATTGTATAAGAATACATCTACATTTTATTTCGCATTGACGCAGTTGCTAAAGTTTTAGTAAGCCGGGGGTCTTGGGTTCGATTCCCCCAAAGGACAAGGATTTGTGTGATCGACAAATAATTGTTTCGGATCTGGGTGCTTGTTGCCAAGGAGGGCTGACGTCAGGCAGGCGGTTTGTCGCAAAAAGCCTAGGCAATACCATTAACTATATAATTCACATGTTGTGCCCACACCGCCTAAGTGGGATAAATGCAAGAGAAAGAAGAAGAAGACTTTAAATCTTCATATTTCAAAATTTTACTACGCTACAAATTATGCTTTATAAAGTAAAATACTTCTAAATTACCATTCTCGTGTAGGCAATTACTTTTAAATGTTCATTTGCATTTTCACAAAACGGCCGAAGTTCAAAGTTCAATTTCCACATTTGAAATGTCAGTTATATGTTTAACCAACACATTAATTACCAGCTAGTATTCGTAACTAATTGACGCTTTCGCTTAATAAGCTGGCTGTATTGCGCATTGATTCGTTCCAATTAAGAAAGATACTCTATTTAAAAATTAATTGCTTCTCGTGTGTATGGCGCGTTATATCGGTTCCGCAAAAACATATTGTATACGTGATCTGAAACGAGCAGTGACGTAACAAGTGAGCTACAATCCCAATCCAATCTCCGCAACGTAGAACGTACTAGCATCGCCCGCTGCATCCTATCCCATCGCATTAAATGCACGTGATCATCTCTTCAGACTTTAATAAGCATATTACTCGGGTTTCCCTTAAAGGTTTCAGTCGATATTAATCAACTCTGATATCAAACAGTGCTACGTGTACGTGATACGTGATACGTATAATATTACCAGAATACAATTCCGCAACGCCAAATTTTCGGCCATTTTTAAAAGTTAACCGCTTAAATATTTTTGCTAACAATCAATAGTAATTTCAATACTTATTGCAACACTTCATTTCCTATTAGGACAACAACGGGCGTTACATTCCTTTTGTACTACACAAATCAGGCAATGACAAAATTTACTGATTTTCTGTCGTAGACTTGTATTTAAGAAGTATGATTGACACGTTATTAAATGTTGATTTAGTACTGATTACTAACATCAGAGATGAATCACATACACAGGAAAAATTAAAGAAATTAAAATCCTCAATATATTTTATTTGTTACGATTAACGTTAAAGTGCTATAAAACTGTGTATCTGGACGCGAATAAAACAGTCCCCTGGTGACCAAGAAAATTGAAATGCATTTAAATGCAGGGAATTAAAAAGAAAATTAAAAGTAAAGAGGTTTGATTAAACGTAAAATGATTATGGCATCACCTTATCACAAAGTAAAGTCTGAAAAGTCGTAAAAGTTTTTTTAAATATGTCGATCCCCTCACCTAGCCCTCTCAAGCGAGATGCGGCATGTGGCGTGCTCAAACTCTGCTTCCGGATCCCTTTGTCCCGCTTTCTGAGAGTCTTCCGCCTGGTCATAGACTACCTTGGCCAACCTGTAAGTCTTTAAATAGACTTCGGACTCAGGTTGGCCGAAGCAAGGAAAATATGTTCAGGTGGGGACTCTCGGAAAACTCAGACCTGGACTGTATGTGTGGAGCAGTGCAGTCCATGGCCCATCTGATGTCCTGTCCTGCCTGCCCTGCCACACCTGTTCGCAGCAGGATCTGATGGATGCCACAAATTGTGCTGTCGAAGTGGCTAAGTTCTGGGCTGAAAAGATATGATTTGTAATCGACACAAAGAAGAAGAAGAAGAAGATCACATATATTTACAGATAAAATTACAATATTACCAATAACTTTATTTTTAAAATAGGATGATGATAACAATAAAAATAAGAAAACACAAACAAATAATACGTGTTCTTTTATTTAGTTAAAAAAACTATACAACATCAATTAAATCAGTTTTCGAGCCTGTGAATGAAATAATGGGCAGTTTTAGAAGTTATAAGCAAAATTGTCACGTAGATGGAACATTTGCACCGGAAATTAAATCAAATTATCAAGTACATTGTAGAGGTCTACGCAGACGATGCAGCGGAATATACGAGTATCTAGGTACAAAAAAACTTCAAGAACCCAATAGGTCATAAATTATCACTTTATTACGGCTGTAGTTTATTACTTTATCATACATAATGAGATGTAATTGTAATACTTCATATATATAAATAACCGTTATTTACTTATGACTTGTCGTGCTTTAGGTTACTCTTTACTTTGCGAATGTTTAAACATCAGTTGTTAAAGTGTTCGCTTAAAAATGACATTTTATTTTAATTCCATTCTTCAAAATGTGATGTATAAGCTCTATAACACGGTGTGTTATGTAATCTCTTTATACACCGAAGAGGCGGTGATTTTCACTTCTTCCGGTTCATAGCTCTTGGCAGCAGGATTTACGCGTCGATAATTTTATTTATTTTATTTCTTTCTTCATGCCGTGATAAAACACCTACAAACTTCGCTTTTTATTGAAATTACCCTCTTCGTCGTGGGAAGAAGGAATTAAAATCACATTAGCAAATCCCGTTCCCGCCAAAACTTTTCCAGTCCCTGCACAGAGACTCGGTGTATTGGAATAAATGGACCGAACTTAGTTTATTTATACTCTCCCTATTGCATATTCATGCTGTCTTTCCATTTTTTTTCCACGTCCATACATTTCTATAATAAAATTAAACGTTTATTCCCTTTTTTCTTGTTACTTTACGTCAGCCATGAATAATTTACAGTAAAATATGAAGATTAACGTGATGACGATTTTGTAAGATGGAATAAAAAAATAAGAAACCCAACAATTATCGCGACCGGCCATCTGTTGCTTTTACAACCTCAATTAGGCTCTATTATTAATATGGCAATATGGTAAAAGTAAAAATTTTTATTGTCAAAATGACAAGTTAAAAGAAAAGGTGTGTGGGATAAGTATTTTAATAAAGATTTAGAAGAATACTCATAAGATAACAAGTTGTATCGGTGCTCAAGTAGTGTAGTTAATCT